ATGCTTGGACATGATCAGCTGCGCAACAATGGTGGCAAATAACCTTACTACTAGAAGCACGAGAACTAAACTTGGCAACAAGAGCCATCTGATTTGAAACTGAAAACGAGGTAGGAACGGAGGAAAGAAGCAGAGCCACTGGTTGAATCAATAGACGAGCCTCATATAAGGATGGCATAGGTGACGTGTTCAAAATCTAAATATGAAGAGACTCGAATTCAGGTTTTAAACCCATCGAAAATTGATAGGTGTGCTGGCGAGCAAGACGAGCAGACACAATAGAAGCGGCAACATCTGGAAAATCACTTAATGGCTCATACTGTGCTAACTCCTCCCAACAAGATTGAAGGTATCCGAAAAATTCGGCAACGGTAAAGCCCAAAGCTTCCTGAGAGGCATGAGAGATATCTTGATAAAGTTTAAAAATCCTAGCATCATTGTGGGCATGTGCGTACATCTGGGTAAGAGCATTCCACAACCGAGGAACTGTATCACAATGAATGAACATGTTGAACATCTAACCAAGTAAGGTGTAATTGTCAATATCCCATTGAACCCACCTATAATCATCAGCAGAAGGTTGTGTCTCGGTTTTCAGAAGCCGTCCAGATTTGCCTCTACCCCTAAGGTAGAGACGTATAGACCGACTCCAAGCAGCAAAGTTGTGACCATTAAGTAACACACTAGTAATCCGATGAACCGGAACATGGGAGGCAAGGGAAACATCTGAACGAGGCATAATGCTCTGGGTTTGTGTAACAAAGTCAGACATTTTGAAATACCACGAATCCGAAGTAGCGGCGTCACACAAAAGAGATGTTACCGAACAAACTGGTAGCCTAAGTAATAAGGAACACACATAGGTTGCTTACCACATCAGCAACACACAACCCTAAAAGGGCTAGAAACTAGCCCAGACCACCCTAGAAAGACGGTAAACTGCACAGAACCAGGACAGAGCTTGGTCGGCCGCTGTAGGAACCCCAGTAGTGACTAGAAAGGACTGCCGAAAGAGAGAGAGAGAGAGAGAGAAAGAGAGAGAGAGAGAGAGGGTTTCAGGTGATGTAAGGTGGTTGAAAAGGCTAGGTAAGTGAGTCGGCTACTAGGAAAGGGAGAAGAGGCTGACGATGGTGATGGGTAGGTGCGGCTATGGTTTCTTTGGCTTTGATACCAAGAATAAAGTTGTATAATATTAGTTTACCTTAATTTGGGTGAGACCATGTCTATTTATAATCAATATAAGATACACAAGAAAAATAAATTAAATAATTACACAATCAAATCTTAAAAATCAAATCCTTAAATAATCGTAATTTATAGAAATCACGAGATTTCCTAAATATACAATATTCTGTATTCCAACAATATTTGCCATTGTCGATAGATTATGCTATGATATAATATTGTAAATTTGCAACACCTCTTCCCCCATATAAATATCATATTTGTAAGTGCTATTACAATATCCTCATTACCATCCATTACGGGCTTGTCACTGTCTACAAAAGTTGCCAATATCCGCCGATGCTTCAACTATCTAGATTTGGTTCCTTACTTTGTTCTTTGTTGTCCAAATCTTTCTTCTTCTTCTTTTTTTTCTCTTATTTTTTTTTTATAACTTTATTGAGAGTGAAATTTCACTGACTTCAGCTAAATTTTACTGAGTTAAGTTAGTAATTCACTGTCATTGACTAAAAGTGAAGAAAATTTTGTTCAAATTCAGTGATTGACTATCATAAAGTTTCGTAAGCATTGAATTTTTTTTGATCTATGACCAAAAAAATAAAAAATAAAAAAATAATCTCAAATTTCTCATTTAAGAGCCCTTCATTTGAATTTTTTACTCTAAAATTTGGAAATAAGAATCCCATTTTCACAATTGACTTTCAAATTTGTAATTTTTGATTATTGATTGAAAAATTCACTGTGTTAGTGAAATTTCATGTGTTCAATGCAGAAAATTCATGATAGTCAACGAAATTTCACTATTCACTATTGAAAATAGAATTTCACTTTAATTTGATTGTCTTAAGTGAATTTTTGCATCTAAATTTGAAAATAATAATCTAATTTTTGTAATTATCCTTCAATTTCACATTTTTAGACATCAATTGTCACGACAGTGACATTGAAATTTCATTGTTTAATAAGAACAAACACAATCATATATATATATATTAGAATTTCATATATATCATGAATTTTATTTTAAAGATTTTGATCAGGCAATTAAAAAAAATACAAATATAATAAAAGCGAAGATTTGTTCGTTACTTGTGAGTGAGGATATTTCTTTTCAAAAAATATTTTCATACTTTTTGAGAAATTATTACTAGAGATCTAAATAAGAAAACCCTATAAATATTTTAACAAATGTTATTTTTATTTTTATTTCTATATGATAGATCAATTTGACATAGAGAAATGTTAAAAACTTAGAATTTAAGATCCATAATTCACTCAGAATGACATGATAAGCGAAATAGATCTTACATGATTGAATTCATAACAAATTAAAAATTACATATATTTTACCATATTATTGTGCATAAATTGTGTGACTTAAATTATCGGTGTCAATTATTTTATTTTATTTTTTTCACTTTTAGATATGATATACTTTTTTTATTACATCATACATAGTACACAAAACATGAAATAAAATAATAAAATACCTAAAACAAAATGTTTAAAACTTTTAAATTTATTTTCAGTAATGTGATATCAATTATTAATTTAGGGTGATATTTTAAATAAAAATACTAAAAATTTAAAATAAATTGCAAAAATTTTATGATGATACAGTTTGTTCCAGTGAATGGATCAGACTGGTCCAAGCTCCTCAAGCCCAGGTCCAAATGATCAAGCCCACCGGATAACCTGCAAATAAGTTCAACGGGGAACGGGGTAGCCCCCCAGTGAATCCTCCGACGAGCAAGTCAGGAAGAGAAGTAGAGTGTAGAGGAAGAGATTAGAGATAAAAAAGCTTAACCTTCTTCTTGTCTTCAACGTTTGCTTATATCCTTTGGTAATCATTTCGTTATCCCTTCCGACCTGACCTCCTTGCCGAAAGTCTATGTTGTAGCTTACCTTATTCAGGGTAAGAGGGTCCTGTTCCGACAAAGAGGTGTTGTCATAATAAATGTTGTGATGAGCTGCATTAATGGTGATGTGCAGTGGCAATAACTATGCAGATCTTTGTCTGTTGATGTGGCTCGTCCTTCACTTGTCAAGTGTCTGAATGTTATTGGCTCTTTATGCTATGTTGGATTCCAACTGTCCTGGACCTCACCAGCTGGGTTATGTATTGGGCTCCAAGTGATGGGTTTAGATTGTTCAGTGATTCATGGCCTTTATGGGCTTATACACGTCAGTAGTCCCCCATTCTCGAGTGCAGCTTTAGTCCAACGAAGGGAATACTAATGAAGAAGATGAGGATGTTAGGGATTGGTAGGATGGAGGTCGACCGGCAGGGGTAACCGAGAGGGTGAACCGACCGGGAGGTGGTCTGACCGTGCAGGGTGACCTAGTGGAAAGGCCGACCACGAGGAGGACCGACCGCAAAGGTTGGCCGAGTGGGAGTGTCGACCACGAGGAGGGCCAACCGCGAAGGGGGGCCAATCGTGGAGGTTGACCGAGTAAGAGGGTCGACCACAAGGAGGGCCGATCGCAAAGGGTGACCGAGTGGGAGGGTCGACCACGAGGAGGGTCGACCGCGAAGGGTGAGGTGGAGGGGCGTGGGGCTCGAGAGGCGGCGTGTCACGTGGTGATTTGAAGTGGAAAAGACAGGGTAAGAGGAGGAGACAGTGGATCGTGGTCGTACACGTGGCAACATTCCGATGGGGGGTGGGGGGAGATTAGGCGTTAGATCAGAAATGAAACGATAGGTCATTATGGGGGGTGGGATCCTTGGAATACGGGCAAACCGTGGGCTTTTGGCATTATTCGATTCACCTACTTGTTTACGAAAAATCAAAATATTACAAGTGTGAATTCCTTTGTTGCTCACGATACACCTCTGCAACACTTTTTCAATTTCCTTGCACCTGCATCCGAAGCGATTCGCAGACATACCATAGAAATGGCCCAAGAAGGAGCTGCGAGTGTTAGGGTGGATCCAGATGATACACAGACGGCGCCAACTGATGATATAGTTTGTTCCAGTGAATGGATTGGACTGGTCAAAGTTCCACAAGCCCAGGTCCAAATGATCAAGCCCACCGGATAACCTGCAAACAAGTTCAACGGGGAATGGGGTAGTCCCCCAGTGAACCCTCCGACGAGCAAGTCAGGAAGAAAAGTAGAGTATAGAGGGAGAGATTAGAGATAGAAAAACTTAACCTTCTTCTTGTTTTCAACGTTTGCTTATATCCTTTGGTAATCATCTCGCTGTCCCTTCCGACCTGACCTCCTCGTCGAAAGTCTATGCTGTAGCTTACCTTGTTTAGGGTAAGAGGGTCTTGTTCCGACGGAGAGGTGTTGTCATAATAAATGCTGCGATGGGCTGCATTAATGGTGATGTGCAGTGTCAATAACTTTGTAGATCTTTGTCTGCTGATGTGGCTCGTCCTTCATCTGCCATGTGTCTGAATGTCATTGACTCTTTATGCCATGTTAGATTCCAGCTGTCCTGGACCTCACTAGCTGGGTTATGTATTGGGCTCTAAGTGATGGGCTTGAGTTATTTATAATGATTCATAACCTTTATGAACTTATACACGTCATTTTATATAATACTAGTTTCGAGTCGTATGTGATATGGATCCTAGCCTACACCATATGAATATTTTCTATTTATTTATTTATTTATATGTGAACTAGCATTGCTCTATTTTGAAGGCCTCAACATTGGTCTAACATGAATGGGACAATTATAGAAAAGTGACGACAACATAAAATAATTATAAAGCGAATAAAGTATATTTTCTTGCACAATCTAATGTATAAACTGTTTGTATTCCCATCACTTTTTAATTATTTTGTGACACTATCCGCTTTAATGTAATTGTCCCAAAGTAAATTTGGTAACAAAATATAACTTCTGCTTTTTATTACAAAAAGAAAGGCAACGAGGGGAAGGGCAGTGAGGACTCAGGCGGTTATGTGCGGATTTACGAAGTTGGAGGAGCTGACTGTAAATGTAATGTAAGTGAACTTTCCAATCCAATCCAATCCAATCCAATCCTGCTTTGAAATTGAAATGATCAATTAATCAATTAATTTCTCTGAGCTCAAACCCTAAATATCGTTTTTTACCGCGAAGTGTGTACGATCTGAAATTGGATGAATTTCTGACACATTTATACAGACTGACAATCATAGAGTTTTCACATTTTTTTTTTTTTAATGTATGTTTGTATGTATGTATGTATTTATTTGTGCATTTGAATCGTCTGTTCATGACTGCATGTTTTTGAAATTGTTCAGAAAACAGAGCCACTTTCATACAAAGACATTTGTTCAAGTTCAATTCTGGTAACAATATCTATGCTTCTTTATTTTGAATTCTCACCGTTTGTGCACCCTAATTTTGTACCTCTAATTGTGCATATTATTATTATTATTATTATTGTATTTGTGTTGGTGTTATTTACCTAATTCTGAAATGGAGCAAGCCACATATACATATAACTTTGTATAGGCTCAAAAGTGTTAAATTTGATGTATAGAGAAATAGAGAGAATGAATTATGTATTATTGATTGATGTATGTTGAATGTTACAATGATTCCTATATATAGAAGAGTAGGTGGTAGTAGGTGGTAGATGGAGTAGGTAAAGTGGAGGTGGTAGTGGTGTAGTGGGTTAGGTTTAGTGGAGTAGGTGAGGTGATAGTGGTGTAGTGGGTTAGGTTTAGTAGGTGAAGTAGGTGATAGGTTTTAACAAAAAGTATACTCATAGAGTTTTATTTATTTTTATTTTTATTTTTTTTGGTTGTATAGTTTGGGAGTTGGGTGTTGCCAACCTTTCTCTGCTCTCGATCAATTTTTGGATTGGGCAAATTTTAGTTTACCCCGTGTGGTATAGGTCATGTGCACAAAGCTTCCCTATCATTTGATAATAACTACTTAACCCCCATGTGATTTTTGAACTAAAATGCACACCTCGCATCGTTAATGCGAAAACAAAAAGTTCAGTTTGCCCCTCTATATAATTTACTTATCAGTCATTCATTCACTTAGCGCACCATCTGTAGAGACAAATTGAGGAAAATTAGAGTTTTCACTCTCTGACCAAAAAAATGTCTTTCATTCTTCTTCACTGGTTTTGTGCATGCGTAATCGGACTCTGATTCTGCCCAGTTCGCTCTTATCTGTCTTTCTTACACACACATTCACTCACTCATATATGTATATAAGAAAAGTGGCACTAGTATGTTATTGGTAGAAGGCTTAGGGAAATCATGTAACTGGTGGAATGCTTGGTGATGCTGCCTCTCTTTGTATCACCGATGCCCTTGTTGGGATGATTGAGTTATTGGTAATTCTTTTACTTATTGGGTTCAATTTTATTTATTAGCATGATTACAGTAACCATTTGTATGCAAATGAATCCATTCTCATTTTACGACAATCAATTTATTCAGTTGATATTGATTTTAATGTGTTAATTGCTTTTTTATATTGTAAAAATTTTGGGTGGTCATTGTGGTCTCTTGGGTGGTTAGAGGTGGTAGCATTGGAGTGAAGTGACTGTAATGTTGGTGGTTGTGCTTACTGTCAAAGAATAAGATGAATGAGATAGAAAAGGAAAGAGAAAGGGCCATTTTGGTTAAAAATTTGGATGGAAGTGTTTTTTTCCAAACCCCTCTTCAGCATGTGTGTGGCTATCACAAACTGTTACCTTGGATAGAAAAGTTGACCTAGCAGTTTAGTCCACAAACCACATAGAGGTTAAGTGGTTAATTTCAAATGATAGGGAGGCTACAAAGTGAAGTTTGCCCTTTTGGGATTTATAGAATTTTTTTTAAGTGGTGGGGAGCCTGTACCATAAGGGGGTAAAGTGAAATTTGCCCTTTTGGATTTTATAGATTCTTTTTTAATGGTGGGGAGCCTATATTACAAGGGGGTAAAGTGAAGTTTGCCCTTTTGGATTTTATGGACTTTTTTTATTTTTTATTTTTAAATTTAATCTATGCTTTTGGTAGTACTTGGGTGGCATTTCCTTAATTCCTTTTGAATGAAATAATCTTATTATTTATCGCAAAAAACACTTAAAAAGTAAGTTTGGCATTTAACGATGATAAATGACTGTACAAATAAGGAGTTTAAAGATGATTATGTGTGTAAATGCTTTATGGTTGTCTCAAGATTTGGTAAGGATTTTCGAAATGCATTTCTTCTTTCTTCTTTTTGTCAATATTGCTTTGAAATCACTTGCCTTTGTTTTCCAGTCAGCTCTTCTTTCACATAGATCCTCTTCTAAGAAAGAAAAAAAACCTCTAATCCTGTTCTTTGCCTATTGCTTAAAGCTAATTGGTTCTTGTTCGGTCTGAAATAGATATACGTCTTATCACTCCGTAATAAGTGGCACTCATTTTTTGTACTCCATAGGCTGACAGTTTTAACACCTAATATATCTCCAGGAAGAAGCCTTGTTAAAGCCGTTAACTTCTTTTTCTTTCTAGATGCACACTGTCAATATGAATATAAATGGAATGAGCTTACTGATGTCAGTTGTATCGTACACCTTCTACCAATAAGTGGTACGTTCTATGCTCTTGATTGTTACAATGCATAGAATTGACCTGCTAGATTCTGTGGTAACACGCTACAATCTGAAAAATGGAGTGTCTATACTGATTGATCACTGCATCATAATTAGTTAGTCTGCCTCTGGTGCATAAAATAGATATCACGGTACTTATTTTGAGTCCTTTTCCGTTATCTGTTGATCTTTCTTTAACAACTTAGCTATTCTGAACAATGGCCTTTGAGCAACACAAAAGTTTACAATTTATCATTGCCATCGTCTGTACCTTATAGACTTGGCTGTTTTAGTTGATATAAGGGGGTCATGTTAGATGATGGAGTCAGCAATTACATTTATGATGGATGATAATTCATAATTGAGATATGAGCATGTAATCTTTGCATCAAATGGGGGATTCATATGACACAGTTTCTGTTGCAGTTGTCTAATCAGTTGGATGCATATAGCATATGGCAGCAGTAGATAAGACACTGTTTTGTTTTTGTCATTGGGGTGGTGAGAACGTGATACGCAAAGATGGATCTATCACATACGTGGGTGGGATTACTGATCAGATTATGGTAAAATCAGGCATAACTTATGATGCTTTTGCGAAGGCTGTTTTCAATAGATTGCGTATTGAGCCTTCAAGCAAAGTGCTGCACTTCACTGTGAAATTCAACAAGACACAATTAATAAGGTTGACAGATCAAGATGGAGTTGACAATTTGATACGGTTCAACGATGATTTTGCACACGTCTATGTAGAGGAGGCAGTTGTTGCCACACCCATTGTGGGTAGCATAAGGTGAAAGGAAATCTTACTATATCATTTCAGAGATTCGCTTCTTGTTTCTTCATTGAGCATTGGCAGTGTAGCCATGTTATTGTGATTAATGTTAGTAAGTCTTTAATTTATATGCAGGGGATCAACTGCTGATGTCCAAACAATCCATGCACATTCCGGGGAAGGTCATGTCGGTGGTGATCATTCAGCTTCGGTGACCTCACGTAGTGATTCAACCCCGCTTGCCTCTGCCATGTCAGATGAGACAATTTTGGAAGAAGGACAAGCATTTGAGAATGCCGAAGTATTTCGGCAAGCTATATTCAGATATGCAATTGCCAAGAAATTCACCTACAAGTACCTTAACAATAGCCCGAAATATATGAAAATTCAATGTGCCGTTGATGAGTGCCCATGGAAATTAACCGCTGGGCGAGAGGGATCGTCAAACCTTGTTTCAGTTAAAACAGTCATTGACAATCATTCACATTCTGCAATGGATCAGATAAAGTGTAAACCCAAATTGATGGCTAAGTTGATGGGGCATATCATCCAGGAAAAGATTATGGATAGTCCAACTTATTTGCCACAAGAACTTTATGATGACTCAGTGAAGAATTTAGCGATTACATTAACCAAAAACCAAGCATCGGCTATCAAGAAGAAGGCTAAAGAGGTGATTCATGGGAAATTAGAGAACTACTTTAAGGTAATACCTTGGTTGTGCAATCGTCTAGTGGAATTAATGCCTGGAACAATTGCTAAATGGTCATGTACAGAGGACAACGTATTCAAACAACTGTTTGTTTCATACGAGTGCTCAATACGCGGCTTCCGTGTAGGTTGTAGACCATTGATTTTTATAGATGCTCGGCACTTGAATGGTCCATGCAAAAGCACTTTACTAGCTTGTTCAGCATTGGATGCAAACAATGAGATTTACCCTCTTGCTTATGGTGTGCTTACTTCAGACGATAAGGAAGATTGGTTGTGGTTTCTAGAGCACTTGAAGCTCGTGGTACGAGACCGAGAAGTGGTTATTGTTTCTGATAGGAATTCTTCTATACTGTCAGCGGTAGAAAAGACATTTGATTCAAATGGCCATGCTCATTGTTTTCGTGATGTGCAAGAGAACTTCAGTAAGTTTATTGATACTAATCGTAACTTTAAGTTGCAAAGTAAAGGCAAGGAGACTGCACATAAGTACCTAAATGAGATTGCTTATGCACGGACTGTGGACACATATGAGAAAGGCCTTGCCAGAATGTGTACATTTCGTAAGGATTTATATGATTGGGTGATTACCAGCAGGCCTGAATATTGGTCTAACGCTTTCTTTAAGAAATGCCGTTGGGATTATTTGAATAGTAATGAGGTAGAGTCATTTACTGCTTGGACAGGGGACATGAGTTTGTTGCATATTCCCCTTATGATGGAACCTAATCGTGTGAAGTTGTCCCAAATTTTACTCAGTAAACAAACTGAAGCAAGAAACTGGAAACTTCCTGTTGGCCCAAAGATTGAGGAAAGGATTCTTGAAAACCAAAAGCTCAGCCATGGTCTTGTTGCTACACTTCATTCTGATTTTGATGCTGAGGTACAGGAAACCTGTGATGTGAAATTAGTTGTGAATCTTAAATTTGGTACTTGCACTTGTTTGGAGTGGCAAATGAGTGGTATCCCATGCCGGCATGCATGCTGTGCAATTGCATTAGCAGATATGGATGTGTATCAGTGTGTGGCAGATTGGTACAAGAGGGAGGTGCAGGAGCTTATATATGCTGAAGTGATGAATGATGTTCCAACAATTGAAATGGCATGTCCCGATGTGCTTGGTGTTGGTGTTGCAGGTGTCTCAAACTTCGAAAACACTTCCACTTCACAAAACAATGATGTTGTGCTTGCTCCATGTGCCCCAAAGATTAAACGGCCCCGTGGCCGCCCTAGGAAGAGACCGTTTGAGGCCCTTGTCTTGGGTGTTAGACATTTACGCTGTTCTCGTTGCAATGTTGTTGGACACAACCGTAAAACATGCAAAGAATCTTTATAGATTTGGTGGGAACTCTGTTGATGGATGGTAGTTTGGTTAGGGTGGACATATGTTTTTTCTTGACATTTTGCCTTGTACTGTTTCACTTGGCTAGTGTTTTGATCGATAAAGCGTATTCCTAGATTATTGTATTAAATTGAGCTGAACTGACGTAAGAGTCTGTTTTGTGGATTATGAATCTTAATTACTACCAAGTTTAGTGGATGTGAAACAGTTCCCTGAACTATTTTCTACATGAAAGATAATTGACTGTAACTTGTGTTCGATAAGAAACAAGAAGGTACTAAATTTATTTGACTTATATCTTCAACTTGGGGCCCAATTATTCACAGGACAGGTTGTAGAATTGAATGGGGTAAGCTGTTAAAACTATGGACATTGGAACATTTTGATAGAAGTCTCAGAAATTTTCAAGAAAACAAATAATTGAATGTTAATGGAAGCTATGGAAATCCTATTTGAACAGCGGAGGCTCTGTTCTGCAGTAAAAATGAATACTAAAGAAGCTCTAAAGAAATAGAACAAAGAGACTTTTTGGGTCATGTAAAGATAAAGATTAATGTTGATCGTATTGATAAAATTACTGAAATCCTTAGTCTTAAATCTCAAAAATCTGCAATGGAAGATAAAATTGTTGAGTTGGATAATGGCCTCGTTTGAGAAATTAAGAAAAAGTGAAATGATTATGAGTTTAATGTGACATTTTGTCTTATTAGCTATTCTAACTTATTTTGTCCTTTTGTGAATTTTAGCTCCAAAAAAAATATCGAAAAGACTCTTGCCAAACAGGGCTAATGAGAGGAATGACTTGAGAGAAACATTGGATAGTTCAGAGTCTAGGGTTGCAGAACTTGAGTTAGAATTAGTGACAACCAAAGATTCACTGAAGAGACTATCTAGTGGGAAGGAAAAATTAGTTAAAATTTTGTTGATTGGGCAAACTGGGAAAACTGGATTAGGATTTACAAGAGATTGTAAAAATAAAACCTAGTTTGTCAATGCTACCAATGATAAGTCTAGTACTCCCCAAAGTCATCGTGTTGAGCCTCCTTAGCCTGAACGTAAGAAGGGAGACAATTCTATTGTCAAGCCTGTTCCTATGTATCATCACTGTGTATTAAGGGCCATATTTGTTCTAATTGTCATAGGTTGAATCTGAATAGGTCTTCTAGGAATCCTTTGAGAGCTCAGTCAAATAGGGGGAATAGCGGGTTTCTTCGTCATCTAGAGGCACTGGCAAACCAATCTAGGAACGTTAGTTATGAGATAAATAAGTTGTTCTGTTATTAGGAATTGGCAGGATCCATCTGTTAACCAAAATTAATTTGCCAATAAAAAACCTAAGAATAACAAGGGGAGAAAAAAATCCAAGAAAAACAACTAGCTAAATACTCCACCTAAGCCTAATGAATTGAAAATTGAAAAAAAAAAAAGGTATGGGTAAAGAAAGGGGAGTTGCATTGTTATGTGGTACACATTGCACTTAAAGCACATGATTCTTCTATGTGGTATCTTGATTTGTTTGAGACGCATGACGGAGATAAGTGATTATTTGAATTTTTCAAGGATACGTATGAGAAATCCAAGAAAAACAACTAGCTAAGCCTCCGTTTGGGAAGTGGGTTGGCTTTTTGGCTTTTTGGCTTTTTTGGCTATTTTAGCCTGGGCTAAAAAGCTTGGTTTGGGAAGGACTTTTTGGCTTTTTGGCTTTTTTGACTTTTTTTGTGAGAGAAGAATGTAGTGATTATAGGTTGGATGTGATGTTTTGTTTGTTATGGCTAAAATAGCCTATTTTGTTTTTTGTGGCTAAAATAGCCAAAAAAGCCTGAAAAAGCTCTTGCCAAACACAGGCTAAATACTCCACCTAAGCCTAATGAATTGAAAATTGAAAAAAAAAAGGTATGGGTAAAGAAAGGGGAGTTGCATTGTTATGTGGTACACATTGCACTTAAAGCACATGATTCTTCTATGTGGTATCTTGATTTGTTTGAGACGCATGACGGAGATAAGTGATTATTTGAATTTTTCAAGGATACGTATGAGGGAATTGGGACCTTTGGAGATAGCAATTGTGCCCAAATCCTAGAAAGGGGAATAATTGTTTCTCCGGGGCTATCTAGACTGGGAAACGTCTTGTTTGTTAAGAGTTTGAAAAAATATCTGCTGAATGAAAAATATTTGAGAGTTCTAAACTATGAGCTCTAAAGGAACTTTTTGGGGTGGGCGCCACCCATTAATGTGATGTTTTGGCCTTAGTTTTTTTATTTTTATTTTTATTTTTTTGAATTTCCACCTCATTAGTGCTCAAATAGACCTCCAAAATTAGAGGGATGAATCATTGTTGCGGCTGAATATAAGCTAAATTTGTGACAGTATTCACTATGTGCAATTTGGTAATTCTGGTAATTCTATACTTGATAATTCTAGTGCATGCATTGTGAAAGGTACTCAAACTTCTGATTACTGTTACTGCATTATACCTGCTGCATCTCTTATTTATAACAGTGTAAAGTTAGTTGAAGTGGAACTATGGCATCAGAGGTTGGGACATCAATTTCGGTGATCTGTCCAAAATTACAAAAAATGAATTTGTAAAAGGAATCCCTAGAATAGGGCATAGTAAGGCCTTGTTTGTGGACCATGTTAGATTAGTCCATGTGAGAACTCGTATTTTTATATAATTGATTTATTTCAAAAATTGTATTGTTGCAATTTCATTTATATTTGATTAGATTAATCTTGCTAAATAAATTTAGTTTTTTAATTTGTATACTCCAGTTTAGAAAATCAATTATAAACTTTAATTATATGATCAAGTCACTTTAAAGTGGGTAATTCATAATTATTAATTTATATTATTAAAATTTCGTGGTTTGTAATAATTCTAAACCCTTCTAAATTAATATTTTTTTGTGTTAACTTCTGTGTCATAATCAAGTTGGAGAAACTAAATTAATAAAAACTAAATTGATTGAATCCTAGTTAAGATGAAATCATTTAGTTAGAGTATTATATATATATATATATATATATAAAAGAGCAAGCATGGCCGGCCTTCCCATCCCCTCTTCCCTAGGTGTTGGCCTTGTTGAGCATGCTTGCACACATGCACACTTCATACACACTTATCCGACTGAGAGGAAATGAAGAGAAGGAGACGAAGCTTTGGTGAGAAAAAGAGGGAGAGAAGAGAGTGTTCTTGGTGCTGATCACCTTAAGGCGGATCTTTGCACAAAGCTTTTGAGGTAGAAATGCATCACCTATTTAATTCTAAATTTTTATATATTTTATATGTTCAGATAAATCTCGTCTTCTGTATGATCATGCACGCAAAGAAAAATGGAATCAAAGATCATATTATTGTTTGGTAGTTAATTTTCAGCATTGTCGGGATTTTTATACGACTAGACAAGCTTCAATGTTTAAATTCTAAAGTTATTGTAGCTTGTTTAACATGTATTACATGTATAAATATTTATAGGACAAACTTTATTTTAACCCCTTGTGGTTTAGGTCATGTGCGATTTACCCCTCTAATGTTTAAATAGTCACATAACTCCTACATGATTTGTGTACTGAAGTACACCGTTAAACATTTTGTCTAACTTACCAGCAATTTTGAAACACATGGTAGACATAAAGGGTTATCTGCTCATTTTAAATTTTAAAAAGGGTAAATCGCACATAGAATAAAATACAGGAGGTTAAAGTGCACTTTGTCTTCCAAATAAATGATGAAAATAAAAGGGTATTTAAGTCTTCTTCATTAAATTATTGACGGGTCTAAGGGAACTTGTGATAACCTTGTTCTGTAGTATGCTAATTGGTCCTTAACATGAATATGATTGTGTTTGATATGATTTTGTGTGCCATTATGTGAAAATATGTGGTTTTGAATTTCTATCTGTTCACCGTAGGAATATCTGTTTGATTATCTGCTTTGAAAATTAAATTGAAGGCCTTATCGGCAACAGAACCCGAAATTGATTGCGCCATTGTGATTAGCGTAATTTTTAGAGCCTACGGTGAAATTTAATTGGAAATTGATTCAGATCAGAATTAATTGATTTAACTGATGAATTAGTGCCCAATTACTTTATTATTATTATATTGGAATTAGTGGGATTTGTTGTAATGGGGCACTACCTCAAATTCCCTCTTTAGTTTATTTTGGCTGATTTTTTACTCTAAGAGTAGAGAGAGGGTCGGTTAGAGAGGGTGAGAGAAGAAGAATTGTGTTTGGCTGAAGTTTATGAAGAATTGGAGGATCAAACTCAAGAATTTGATATAGATTGGAAGAATTAAGCCTCTAGGTAAGTGAATTCATGAATTGTAAGTTATCATCTTGTGAATTCAAGTTTGAATAATGGTCAAGAACATGGATTAAATTGATTATGAGGAAATTAAGTTGATTTTGTTGTATTTGAAGTCATTAGAGGTATACATGTAGGAAATTGCTATAAATTTCCATGTTTAAGCATAAATTGTGTAATCCATGATGAATCTTGTTTGAAATCCATGTATTTGATCATCTCTTCACCAAATAAATTGAGAATAATGAATATCTCTCACATGCAAGTGTAGATCATGGAGGTGTGAGCTTTGCATGTTTGAATTTGATGTGTTGGTGATGAGTTTGGGTTAATTTGAGGCATGCATGTGAGAAATTCTTGGAATTAAGCTTCATAATGTTGAAATTTAGTGTTTATACCATGCTAGTATATATATATGTGAAGTTTGAGCCAAAATCATGCATTTGGAACCTTTGAACATCAAGTTGAAGCTCAAGAATGTGTTCTGGAAAACCCAGAATTTTTGATGTCCGCTCGAGCGGGAAATTCGTGCTCCCAGTATTTTTGCAGACATGGATACTCGCTCGAGCGGGGAAGTTAACGCTCGAGCGGAGAGCCATGTAGAGAGGCCTTCTGCTCGAGCGCTAGAGTGCACGATCGAGCGTAAATTCGACATACCCAGTGCTTTTGCAGGCCTCAAGGGTCCGCTCGAGCGGGGACCCTGCTTTCTGAAATTTTGAAAGTGTATTCTATGTTTCGTTTTCCGTTCTCTTTCACTTACAAGCACTCTTAGGCATGCATTAAGCATTGTGATTGAGTTAAAGAGATAAGAATGAAGCCTAAAGAGGAATATGTGAATTAAAGAATGGACAAATTGTTTGTGACCCTTTTGTGTTCATGGAATGTGTAGGGTCGAGCTCCAGGGCAAATC